GGACTTAACAGTACTTTTCCAGGTTTTCATGTCACATGTAATTTCAATTAACTAACATAAACAGCAACTCATAAACACCACACACTATACTCCCACCACTACGACTTCTGTCCCTTCTTCCGGTAGAATCTTTTCTCGCTGGGATCAAATCCTTGTTCTATGGCACCAAAAACTGCCCAAGCTGGCGTAGGAGCTACATAGTCAGCAGATTCGAATGACTCCTGGCCTCCAGATTGCTGATATCTTTGCCACAGCTGGTGGAATTTGGAGTAATCAATCCACGTCCACCATTGCCCATTCTGTTTGAACTGTGGACATGAAGATGAAAGGCAAATCAAACTTCAATACCAGTAAAGAAACTTTGTACAGAAAATTTGTTGTTTCTTCTTTTTTTTTAAATTAATAGCTAAGACGCAGAAGACCTACAACTATTAGACATTCTGGTACTAGAGAGTGCAAAAAAGGGACTTAACAAGTTAATAAATTCAAGTATTTGGGGACATTCATAACATCAGATGGACGATGTGTGACAGAAGTTAATAGCAGAATTGGCATTGCAAAGGCAGCTTTGCAGAAGACGAAAAGTATCTTATGTAATAAATTGTTCTCATTACACATCATAAAATGAGTACTAATCATTATGTCAAGCCTATTCTGTTGTGTAGCAGTCAATCTTGGAATTGAGCAAACAAATTAAGATAACTGAGACAACTGAGATGTTGTTCTGGAGAAGAATGTTGCTAATACCTTGGGCTGGCAGAATAACTAACAATGAATGCCTGGAAATGGCTAATGAAAGTAGAACATTATATACAACAATGAGAAAGAGACACAATTCATCGGTCATATGATGAGAAATGGAGCACAGCAAAATATTGTGACGACTGGAAAGATCACTGGTAGCAGAGGTAGACCAAGAGAAATGATGGCGGATGGCATAAGACAGTGACATGGAGGAATATCATTAGTGGAAGTGATCCAGCAAAATCAAGGATCAGGATCTGTGGAGATGCATGAATGCCTACGCCAGCTGGCAAGGCACTTGGTGATGATGATGATACTTTTTTATCATGCCTGACAAAACATTACAGATGAATTTTCTAAAGAGAATTACCTAGCCCCTAGTATCCAATAAACCTGTAAATATCATGTCTCCTTTGAGTGCATAAATTATGTGAGCTACTTTAAATACAAGCGAATTTTAGAACATAAATTTGTATGTCCTTTTTACCCCTTTCTGGTTTAGTCATAATTACGCTCAATTATTAATATTAATCAATTGTAAAATTACTTTTTGTCTTGTCTCCACTATTCTTTTGTAAACAGAATGCTACCAATCAGATTATTGAAGTGTGGCAACTTGACTTATCAGGCATCTCCAGATTTGTTGAAAAATTTTGGTTAAGAACTCGAGTGTCAAGACAAATTCACAAACAAATACAGTTCAGCATAATTTGATGGCATCATGCTGCATTATCACCCACAATGGGTATGAATGCAAAATTTGAGCCTGACAGCTTATGTTTGAGGAAATAAGTTAAACATCAAAGACAAAGTTTTGCCCAGACAAACATCATGAATCTTCTTCTCTTCCACCTTGTACCGCATCGAAATGTCTGGGGAAGATGTAACTTTCGTTGATGAGCTCTGTCAAGAGCACTATTAAGACTGATGATCATTTCTTAAAGGCTGTTCTTAATGCCATCACTCCATATTTTCCGACGTCTTCCACTCGCTCTACACCCGTTGTAAACGTTTTACTTTGGCTCGATGTGGCAGATAGTACCAGGGCATTCTTGTTAGGTGTCCAAACCCCTTCATTTGTTGTTCTTTGACTGGCCTTATTCCTAGCATTCGTCCGAGTTCGTATTGTCTTTCCTTGAAACTCCTGTAGCTCTTCTAAGGCATTTCCTCTCTGTTACACAATTTTACGTTCATTAGAGGATGTAAGAGTCCACGTTTGGCACTGATAGCCAAAAATAGTTCTGATAAGATTCACTTTGGTACTCCAGAACATCGTAAATGAACTTAATAAAAGCCTACTTAAACAAAAAAAACACACACACAAAAGAGAAAATGTACCTTCTTATGTGCAACGAGGAGACAGTTGGAATGCTCATGTTCAGAAGCTATTTCATAGTCAGGCAGTCGGTCAACCAGCTCGTTCACAAACTTGACCACCTCTTCATGCCAAGGCACATTCTCCATGGTCAGAGTGGAAGCTTTTGATTCCCCGCAGTAGGTGACACCCTGGCAGAGACAGAATCACATCGCTGAATGTGGTGGCAGACTTAACGCTAACACAATGAGTAAAGAAGTGAATCACTTAATGTGGTAGCAAACTTAATGGTAACACAATGAGGGAACAAGTGGATCATTGAATGTGGTGGCAAACTTAACATTAATACAATGAGGGAAGAAGTGGATCACTGAATGTGGTGGGCGGAAAACTTAATGTTAACACAATGAGGGAGGAATCGGATCATTGAATGTGGCGACAAACTTAACGTTAACACAATAAGGGATGAACTGGATTACTGAATGTGGTGGCAAACTTAATTTTAACACAACGAGGGAGGAAAAATGATGGTCTAAGTGGAACTGAAAGATAGAATACAAATATAAACACACACAATTTTTTTTTTTTTAAAGTTAAAGAAAAACTATTTAAAAAACCCACAAACTACAACAATGAAACTGTCCTTACTTTAACTTCTATGAAGTCTGGGTTGCCTAGGGAAACAAGTTTGGCATAGTTGTCTAGTTCCTCCGTGTTCCAGGCCTTGACTAACGTCAGCCTGTAGACAGTTCTCTGTCCCTTGTCTCTGAGGGCGGTCAAGCTGTCGATGAACCTCTGCCAGAAGTCCTTGAATAGTGGCCTGGAAGACAATGCCAACATTACTTAACATGTTGAATTAAGAATCTACATCATAACACTCGGGACACCCCGATAAGCAGAGCACAGAGTACGCTCTCCATAGCTCCAGCAAACTCATATTTATCAATGAATGAACATAACATTCCGCCAACATGAATATCATTGAAATAGTTGAGTGAACTCTGGTCCAATACGAAGGAATAGGCTTGGCAGAATGATTACCGTCAAAGTTATTTTGCTTTCAACAGCGTTTTGCTAATGCAGTTTCCACATATGGAGGGTAGTCTACAGTTTTGCTGTCTGAGCTAGTGAGTTTAGTACTTAATGCAGCAGCACTGAGCTGTGTCTTTCGTGTAGAATCTTCTTCTTCTTCTTCAGCGATCTCTGGTCATGCGCATAATCCACTGTGGGTCATAAACTGGGATGTCTTTTCAAGGTCTCTTAGGTTTCCTCAAAGCTTAGTTGTCAGTTCTACTGGGTGTTGCCATATGTCGCTCTGCAGCTCCGCCAGGAGAGGACAGTCTTGCAGGACATGTTCTGGAGTCTGTTCAGCACGAAGACACTGGCAGAGAGCTGTTTGGCTCATACCTAATTTATATGAGTGTTTATTGAGTCTGCAGTGTCCAGTTTCGTGTAGAATGACTTTGATCTGTACAGCGGTTGTGTCGTGGTATTAGATTTGGCCGGCAGCCAGTTCACATGTGGGCTGGTGAAATACCTTATATAATAACTGTATGTGTGTATAGCCAACTTATTGTGTCCAACTACTTCCATCAACGACAAAACTGCATTTCTTGTGGTGACTGTTGGCATTGGTGCCTCTTGTAACTGCCATATGAATTTAATGTGTGCACATGTTTCTGGATTGTGACCGGACTAAGTGTTTGTTCCCCAGTTTTTCAAATGTGACAGCAAGGAAATATTTCATATGATTTTCACTGGCACAGGAACGGAACAAGTATGGGGAAACCCGACTGCGATGAAGTTAAAACCTCGACTAAGACTAAGAACAAGTAAGTGAACATGTTATGTGCTAGAACAAAACATTAAAGCTTGTATAGAATGGCATCTTTCTCTCCTCCAGTTATAGAATTCAATAAATAGTCACTGTCATACGTAATTACCTGTCAATTTTCTTCAAACTCTCCTTGGTAGCTGCGTCCACACTAACGTACAACTGGGTCACAGGAAGGAGATCCCTGCATGAAAGAGAAATACTTGTATCTTATATATGTTTATATGTTAGCGTCTATGGCCTAGACGTTGTGAATGCACGTCATAGTACTGGGTTGGATCCCAGCTGCTGGCGATGTTACAGCAGACTGTCATTCACTGGTTTTGAAAGGGGTATCAAGAGTTGCAAATTTATAATCAGTAGTTTGCCATTGCTTTCTGAATGGGTAACTCTTGATACCACTATGATTATGTTAACATAAACATAGTGGTATCAAGAGTTGCCCATTTAGAAAGCAATGGCAAACTACTGAATATAAATATGCCTAGAAAAACATGATTGCCAAATAATGCTGGGGTTGGTTCTTTCCAGAGGTCATTCATCACAACCCAAAACATTATGATTACATTTACTTTTTTTAAATAATGGGGGGGGGGGGGGGGGGGGGGGGGGGGGCATAGGAGAATTAAAAAAAAATTAAGCCTTGCTAATGTAATAACTTAACTTTACTGATTGATTTCAAAGATAAATGTATGACAGCAAGCGTTTCATTTTCTCCTTCATTCATGTTCATTGATTACTCCCTTTTCACTTATTTTTAAAAAAATGACTTATTTCGAGAGACACAAAAATATATTTGTAATTTTAAGTTTTTAGTTGATCGGTGACGCGTACTTTCCTTTAAAAGAATTTTTAAGTGAATTGCCAGATTTGTAGCTTTTCACTTTCGGAACAAGTGCAGAGACGCAGATTGATCATTAGGGTCTGAGGAGAATGGCGTCACCAGGGTATCTGGCCGACGCTCAACACTCAGGGGAAAGATGAGATGGATACACAATCAGATGGTTACTGGTGCCATCAAAATTGGAACTCTTCACTTGCTGTTGAAGATGGGGACGGGGCACTTATGGGAGTGTCCCAAGTGCCATGATGTTGATTCTTCATTCAACTTTCAACTTACAACTTTCACTTCAGAGGGTTTATGAGAATGAAAGGGATTAATCACTTCTTGAATGTCATCACTCTTATGCACATCATTACCTTGGGCCACAGGTCTACATGCTTTTTGAGACAATTTACACATGAACTTAGATTCCCAGGTCAACGCAAACTAAATGCTAAAGTACAGTTTCTCTTTCAAGCTACTGGGGGGATCAGGCATGTTGTGCCTCTGTGTTCATCCATAATTAAAAGGGTGATCGGTATGCTGTATTGTGGTTTTTAGCTATACTGCAATATCAGAACTTTTCGACCACCATCACATCTTCTGGTACCTTGCAGCTCTTTCAAGCCACTGGGGAATCAGACATATGGTGCCTCTGCATTCATCCTTGATTAAAAGGGTGATCTGTATGCTGTATTGTGGTTTTCAGCTATATTGCAATATCAGAACTTTTTTACCCTTATCTCATCTTCTGGTACCTTGCGGTGTTGAGGTGAAGTATAATTTACGGGAAAGTGCACGTCTGTGTGCTTCATAAATTGGGACTTCCAGGGACTCTGTTAATCCCTCTGTCCATCATTGGCCACTTCTTTGCTTCCCGCCTGGTCTCTACATCATTGCTTGCTGTGGTATACTGTTTGTTGACTTCCACATTACATGGCCAAACCATTTCACCTGCTGTTTTTGTAATGAAACCCAGAGCTGCCTCTACGTCCATTCTCCTTCAGATTTCATCATTCCTGACCTTATCTCTTCTTGTTATATTAACAGCTCTTTGTTGGAATCTCATTTCAGTTATAATTTGTCTTGTCTTTTTTTCTGTCACTGTCCAGGTCTGGCATTGATAACACAGGGTTGGCAAAAAGATTGTGTCACAGAGTGATCTTTTTGTTTCTACTGATACTTTTAAGCAAATTCTCAACAAGCTGCCTTGTGTTTGAAAAAGGCTGCCTGGCCGAAACGTTACGTTGTGTTGTTTCTGCACGTTTTCCTCTTTCCCATTTTGTTGAGCTTTTTAGTCAAATTTCTCTGAAATTCGTTGTATTAGCTTGACTGCAGTCACCCCCATAGTTTCTGCCTTTTAAGACAAGATTGTTGGGAAAGGGGGATTCTCAAGTCTCAGAAATGGAAATATTTTGGCATATCAAACACCACAGTGGGTAGCATAAAGATAGGTACAGATATAAAAGACACTATGGGTAGGAAAGTTGAGAGAGATGGCGATGAACTGAGTTCCTTTCAGGCGGGATGTGATGGGAACAGTGACCTGCTTATAGTAAAGTAAAGGACCCTTTTCCACACCTTAAGACGTACAGGGCATATAGGGCTAGACCTATACTTTATAGACCAATCGGCACAAGATGGGTGATGTGGTCAGCATCACGCAGGCCACCTCTAATTCTCCGGACTGCACCCGGTACCCACTCAAGGCTGGGTCAACCTGGAAGCCAATGGTTTTTTTTAAAAGTCGGGGGGAGCGAACGGAGACCTGCTTATATAAAGCAATATTCTACAACATAATGATGACTCTGTTACCTGATCTCTTGAGGAAACTGGGCATTTGTGACTAGAAAACTGGATATCTGCTTGCCGTGTAACAGTTCCACAAATTTGTTAATCTCTGGATACATGATTGGTTCCCCTACGAGTGAAAGGGCACAATGTTTGATGATCAGAGCCTCTTCAAATTTCTCTGGTAAAACACCTGGCACACCTGAGGATAAAATATCTTATAGTTCTCAGAAGAAAACAGATACAAAATTCCTGAGATAACCAAAACTTCACAAATGTATACAGTTTTAATCATAATTGTGCATCAGTATTAGTTTTCATCCAAATTTTACTTCAACAATTTTTTTTTAGCCTATGCTGCATAATTCCAGTTTTCACTCAAATTTTGTATAATAGTTTTCCCTGAAATTTTTTACATAAATACAAGACTTTATACTTCACCTACTTTATCTAATTTTACATTTATGAAAGCATGTAAAAAAAACTATTAGCTATAAACACAAGTTACATTTTTTATTTTTCAATAAAAGCAATATTGAACCTAAGATGCCACAAAACAGACACTTACGGCCGAGCCCAAATCCCAAATAATTGTCACTTTTCAGATTTGTTTATTCGTCATAATTTGCCATTAGGTCATCACCTCAAAAGTTAGGTTACTCACCTCTCAGTCAAGTTCACTCACCTCTGAACCAAGGTCACTTACCTCTGAACCAAGGTTACTTACCTCTGAACCAAGGTCACTTACCTCTGAACCAAGGTCACTTACCGCTGAACCAAAGTCACTTATCTCTGAACCAAGGTCACTTACCACTGAACCAAGGTTACCGCTGAACCAAGGTCACTTACCTCTGAACCAAGGTCACTTACCTCTGAACCAAGGTCACTCACCTTTGAACTGTTTGATCAGCTTAATGTGGTTATTAACCGCCCCATTAAACACGGTTTCAGCATCGTCCATCTTCCACTTCCATTCTGTGCCCACTGGATTTGTGTGATGTCTTTAACAAAAAACAAAATAATTATTGATAATATTTTTTGCATAAAAAGAATCAACAAAGAACAGGAAAATAAACAGAAGGAGGTAAAGTTTATCACATGAAACATATTTCTGTTTAACAAAATGCTCTTTTGTCCTTCAGTGTTTTACTGTATGACTCTGGAGGGAAAAGGTGAAAGCAAGAGGCAGACAAAGATACAAGTGGGAAGGTCAGCAACAACAGATAGATGAACAGCAGTCTGAGACATTGTACATCGACAGCAAAAGACAGAGCATCCATTGCAGCAAGGAGGGACGGATGTGAGGAAGAGAGTGACATGTGTATAACCAGTTAAGTCAAGAACTGACATCACAGCACTCGGGGCATTCCCATGCATGCTCCGTCCTTATCTTCAGCAGCCAGCACAGAGTTCAAACACTGATGGTACCGGTCACAATCTGGTTATATGTCTTTCTTGACTTCCCTCTAAGTGCAATATAATCAGTGTGCTACGGGAACAGTTAGCATTTACACTTTATGCCATTTGCTGCGAGACACGGAGCATCTATGGGTATGCCCGGTGTGCTATGATGTGGATTCTTAAATCAGTAAATGAATTGTGGCAATGACATCTGACTGGTTGACTGACTGAAAGCTTGTTTCTACTGCTATGGTTTTTATGTCCGCTCTACTTCTGTGTAGAATAGAAACGGCTAAACACTTTCACATGTGATACTTAAGTAGAATATTTGCCACTAAGTGGCAAGACAAGATCATAAACACAGAGGTATTGGACAGCACAGGTATTTCTCAATGCTCAGCCTATGAAGGCTCAGGTGGCTGGATCATACCTGGAGAATAGAGGATGGTAGAGTCCCTAAGGACATTCTCTATGGTGAAATACAGATGGGTAGAAGATTTGAGATCAGCCTTTACTATGATACAAAGATGTGTGTGATGAGACATGAGTGATACAGGTATTGAGGTAGATCTGTGAAAACTAAATGCCAGTAACTGTGTTGAGTGGAGGGGGGAAAAAAGTCAGAAAAGGGAATGAGAATAAAGGAAGAAATGATTGCAGAAAGGATGAGAGCTGGGCATCTGAGAAAAAAACAGACTACACACAAATGTTGACAACAGTGGTCCTAAAATCCCATGCTCTGTTTGTGGAATCCCTTTCTTGACACGTCTCGATAGTCACACTCGTCATCCCCATGGGCTGTGAGTCTCTTGCCTCCTCACAATATAACACTATCATCTGCAAAGCTGGAACGGTGCCAACAACAGCATTTTTCTGTGTTTAAATGGTCTAAGGCTGACAGAGCACAAGTTACTGAGACAGACTTCTAAAAGTAATTTAAGGTAAGGTTAGGGATCCAGTATCATCCGGCACCTGCCACTGGACCTTCAAGGCAACACCATATCGACATGTCACAGGCATGATACATCAAGTTATTTCATGCAAGTACATATGCTGATGAATGTTTTAATAAGTATTGACATCACAGCACTCAGGACATTCCCATAAGCGCTCCATCGCCATCTTCAGCAGCAAGCATGGAGTTCCAATTTCCGTTGGCACCGTTAAGTCTGATTGCATATCTGGCTCATCCTTACCCTGACTGCTGATCATTGGCCAGATCCCCGGCTCACTCCTCACAGCACCATTCTCCTCAGACCGTGACGATCCATCTGTGCTTCCAGACTGTTCACTCACCACCCCCCCCCAACCCCCCAAAGGGCCCTTACATCTATCATAAGTAAAGATCCCTCACGCCCTTAGGCGCATCGGGCATTTGGAAAGAGCACCCATATTTTTACAGACCAATCGGCACTCGGTGGGTAATGTGGTCATCATTACGCCAGCCGTCTTTACTTTCCCAGGACAGCCCATCCTGGTACCCATTTGAGGCTGGGTCGACCAGCCAAGTACCATACCACGATAAAAATCCCCGCGGCCCACGTAGGTTTCGATCGCGGTACGTTGGATTACGAGTCAGACTCGCAACGCCTTAGCCACGGACGCCGCTACATCTATCTTGCCATGCATCAATTCACCACCCAAGTCGTGCAGAACCAGCCTGTCTGTCTGACTGTTCATTTCGGAACACACCGGCAAACCCAGGAGAAAATATCCACAGGACACTAACTACCCAAACCTCTGAAGCGATGCTTGCCACTCTTTACAGAGCATACTGGTCGGCACCTTTCTCAACATTTTTTGCCCATATGCTGATGTTCTCATGACATACAGCCAGTCAAACACATTTGACGTACTTCGACTTCCTTGTGGAATGCTCTTTGCTCATTCAAAATTACTAAATTCTTTGCACCCAGAAAACCGAATGGGGGTAAAAAGCCTTAAAACCCAGAGATTTCCTCAAAAACCGTTTAAAAGAAAAAAAATAATAGTTAAATAAATATTTTTTAACAAAAATTACAGTGACCCCAAGGCTAAGCGACGAGGCAGAGATGAACAACAAATGATGACATAAGCATCATCAGTTTCCACTTCTGCTGTTATGCATTGTGGGTAGGAACAATTTGCGATCCCTTGCTTGATGAGCAGCAATGGCTAATTTTATTTTGTATCGATGCAGAAGCCAATTGAAAAGTTAGTTACTTGACCTTGACAGGACGTTGCAGAACCAATCCCAGCATTGTTTGGCTGTTGTGGTTTTTTCTAGGCAAGTTTACATTCTGTAGTTTTATATCTTTCCATGATATTTTCTAGGTTTTCATTTAAGGCCCCCTTATAGATACCCACACCTCACAAACATACAGACATACACACAACTGACCTCCAACAGAAGACACATTTATTGGCGCAAGCCAGGCTGGGTGTCGTCTCCATACATCTGTGACTCTCGATCCCGTAAAAGGTGTGCTTGTAGCAGCCTCCGCGTCCACGCAGCATAGACTGGAATCAAACAAACAGCCATAGTAGACTTTTGGTCGTGGTAGACTTTTGGTCATATTAGAGTTTTGGTCGTGGTTGAGCTTTGGTCGTGGTCGAGTTTTAGTCGTGGTCGAGTTTTGGTCGTGGTCGAGTTTTAGTCGTGGTCGAGTTTTGGTCGTGGTCGAGTTTTGGTCATTTTAGAGTTTTGGTCGTGGTTAAGTTTTGGTCGTGGTAGACTTTTGGTCATTTTAGAGTTTTGGTCGTGGTCGAGTTTTGGTCGTGGTCGAGTTTTGGTCGTGGTCGAGTTTTGGTCGTGGTCAAGTTTTGGTCGTGGTCGAGTTTTGGTCGTGGTCGAGTTTTGGTCGTGGTCGAGTTTTGGTCGTGGTCGAGTTTTGGTCGTGGTCGAGTTTTGGTCGTGGTCGAGTTTTGGTCGTGGTCGAGTTTTGGTCGTGGTCGAGTTTTGGTCGTGGTCGAGTTTTGGTCGTGGTCGAGTTTTGGTCGTGGTTGAGTTTTGGTCGTGGCTGAGTTTTGGTCGTGGTTGAGTTTTGGTCGTGGTCGAGTTTTGGTCGTGGTCGAGTTTTGGTCGTGGTCGAGTTTTGGTCGTGGTCAAGTTTTGGTCGTGGTCAAGTTTTGGTCGTGGTCGAGTTTTGTTCGTGGTTGAGTTTTGGTCGTGGTCGAGTTTTGGTCGTGGTTGAGTTTTGGTCAGTGTGTGTTTTGAGAGGCAGACGTACAGTAAATAATGTCTACGCCTTCCGTTCTGATTCAACCCCGTCTTGAACGGATACCTTTCTGTGTCGATTTTAGGGCACTATTTGTGCGACAAAATAAAAATAAAAAGAACAGCCCCACTGCCTCACTAACAAGCATCTTGTAAGAGTCAACTAAATAGGGGTTTCATTTGAAGATGGAGTGCATCTACCCGAGAGGCAAGGAACCAACAGTCTGCAAAAAAATAAGCCAGACCTGTAAAATAGATCTGCATGCAAAACTCAAGTTCTGGAACAAGACTAAGTCCAGAGGTAAATGAACAATCAGAACTTTCTGCTGAAGTTAACGGTGAACGAGAAGAAGAAGAATGGGTACAAGGTAAAGTTCTGGGAAGCGACGGCCGCCAAAGTGATGCTGAACAAATTGCCGGGTACCAACATGTCTTTAAAAAAGACTATGTCTCTGAGGGATGGGGGGCGCACGGAGAAAAGGAAAAACAAAAAGAATCTGTGAAGAGTGAGTAAGAGTAGCTGTGACAGAAGGGTGATAGGGGAAGGGGAAAGAGTGGGAAGAGAAAGAAGAGAGACAACAAGTGACAGAGAGAGGAAAGGAAACGGAAAAATGTAGAAAGAAATAGAGTCTCTGAAGAGTGAGTGAGAGTAGCAGAGACAGGGGAATGGTGGGGTAAGAGGAAAGAAGAGAGAGGAGAAGTAACAGCGACCCGGGGACAAAGAAAGGGAGAGAAAACATAAGGAGAGAAACAAAGAAAAAATATATGAAGGGTGAGTAGCAGAGACTCAGGAGATTGGCAGGGGAAGGAGAAAGAGGGATGGGAGAAAGAAAGAGAAGAAACAGAGAGAGGAAGGGATAATGTGACAAAGTAGATAGGGACAGAAAGGGAACCAAAAAATGGGGCAAAGGTAGAGAGGGAGACAGTGACAAAGAGTTGGTGGGGGTGGGAGGGGGGAGACAGAGAGAGAGAGAGTGAAAAGGGACAGAGGGTATGTATGCTTGTGTGTCCATCTGTCAATGCTAATGTTTGCCTTGTTCTGCATGTGTGTATGATTTCGTGTACAAACATGTCTGTACATATCTCTTTGACAGCAATAGATGTGACCCACCCATCACAATGCAACCTCAACACACTATTATATGTGGCTAATTTGTATTATTTATTTAGTCTTTCCTCTTGAGCCTAGGACGGCGCATAGGGCAGAGGTCATAGTTTTCCATGTCTGGCGGTTCACTGCCACCTGTTTTAGGTCTTGGATGTTTGTTAGCCCCATGATTGGGCCATTCCTGATGATGGGTTCTACGCAGAGTCTCTCTCTGTCTTCCCTATTGTCTTTTCCCTCCCGGTGTCCATATGAGGGCTTGATGGGGGTGTCTCATCATATCCATTCTGAGTGCATGTAGTTCCGGCAGTGCTTTCTTTTAAAATTGGATCCATTATCTTGATTTTATTACCAAGATAAAATTTAATCAATGAAAGAACACATACTTTTGTCCAGCGACACAGCTTGACCCCTGAGTGAGAACCAATCAGCTGGTAGCCTTGTTTCTCCAGGGATTCCCGCAGTAGGGGTGTGATCATTTCTCTGGGGCCATCTCCTTGACCTCCGGCTGTTCCGTTGGCCAGGTTTTGATTCTGTGTGATAATCATGTGGACATGTAAATCGAAGGTCTAATAAATTTTGCAGGTCACATACAAGCAAGTGGGTATCTAATCTATCCATCTATATATGTATTTAACATGCATTACCTACATCTGTATATGTACTTAACATTACATACATCTGTATATGTACTTAACATTACCCACATCTGAATATGTACTTAACATTACCTACATCTGTATATGTACTTAACATTACCTACATTTGTATATGTACTTAACATTACCTACATCTGTATATGTACTTAACATTACCTACATTTGTATATGTACTTAACATTACCTACATCTGTATATGTACTTAACATTACCTACATCTGTATATGTACTTAACATTACCTACATTTGTATATGTACTTAACATTACCTACATCTGTATATGTACTTAACATTACCTACATCTGTATATGTACTTAACATTACCTACATCTGTATATGTACTTACTTAACATTACCTACATCTGTATATGTACTTAACATTACCTACATCTGTATATGTACTTAACATTACCTACATCTGTATATGAACTTACTTAACATTACCTACATCTGTATATGTACTTAACATTACCTACATCTGTATATGAACTTAACATTACCTACATCTGTATATGTACTTAACATTACCTACATCTGTATATGAACTTACTTAACATTACCTACATCTGTATATGTACTTAACATTACCTACATCTGTATATGTACTTAACATTACCTACATCTGTATATGTACTTAACATTACCTACATCTGTATATGTACTTAACATTACCTACATCTGTATATGTACTTAACATTACCTACATTTGTATATGTACTTAACATTACCTACATCTGTATATGTACTTAACATTACCTACATCTGTATATGTACTTAACATTACCTACATTTGTATATGTACTTAACACTACCTACACCTGTATATGTACTTAACATTACCTACATCTGTATATGAACTTACTTAACATTACTTACATTTGTATATGTACTTAACATTACCTACATCTGTATATGTACTTAACATTACCTACATCTTTAATTTTTAATCCATGTTCTGGAAGATGTTCAACAATGAGGGGGAACTCTCTTCACTGGCTACTGAAGAAGGGGATGGAGCATGCATGAGAATGTTCTGACTGCAGTCATGTCAATTTTTCATTCATTCTGCAGGCAAGAAATAAGTAATAAAGAAGCAAAAATGACTTGAATACCTTAGATTCCTTCATTAATTTGCCAAGGTCTTCCAGGTCCATGATATCAGGCTTTGCTGCTGGAGAAGGCTCATCATCTGACTCATCTGACATTACCTGGTGAGTACAGAATGAACAATATCACATCAGAGACACACTGAAAGGCAAGTGTACAAACAGATGCCTGAACCTCAGTTATCATCATCTGAAAATACCAGTTTCAGTGTGTATTTTTTTGGTCCAGGATTTACAGGTTTGCGGGGTAACGAGCAGACCGATAGATTAGCTGCTGCTCTTCTTGGTGGTAAGCTAGTATATGATAAAACGGATGTGGTGAAGGCTTTGAGGGATCAAATGGACAGTGCAAAAGAACAGATCGACTGAGAAGGGTGTGGGGGCTTTTAAGCAGGTTGAAACTGATACCATTAGCATGTCAACTCTTAGTTGGCTACTGAAGAAGGGGATGCAGCAAGTGGGTGATATTGAGAGTGCACTGAAGTCAAATCTTGATTGATTCATTCACTCATAACCGTTTAGTGATTTCTGCTCCCTAATAGAGGATAACTAGCAGGTCACCTAGTAAGTAAAGGACCCTTTTCCATGCCTTTAGGCATATAGGGCCAAACCTATATTTTTTATAGACCAAATGGAACAAGATGGGTGATGTGGTCAGCATCACCCCGACCACCTTTACTTCCTGGGACTGCACCCGATACCCACTCAAGGCTGGGTGGACCTGGGAGTCAAGGTCATTTTTTTTAAAAGTCCGGCTCCGCCAGGGAGTGAACACACGACCTTCCAATCTGCATGTGAGCGTCTAGCTGCTACACCATGGCGACTTCCATGGGAATGTTCAGAGTGCACTAAAGTCAATTCTTGATTCATTCATTCACTCATAACTGTTTTTAGGGACTTCTGGTCCTTAATGGAGGATAATTAGCAGGCTACTTGATGATCTAAAATAATTTTTGCTTTAAGCCAAGGTTGGTTGATGCAAATGTCCCCCCCTTCCAGACCAGGATTACAAAGGTTTTATCACCCAGATAATGAGCTGAGTGCTTGGTGCAACACTGTGGCTGTGGATATTGTGCTGAATGTGTTTTTTTTTCTTCTTCTATTGTGCTGTGAGCTGCACTAAAACTTGCAGGTGACCTAATCATATCATGAACGGTGTGTACTTATACAGTATTGCATGTTCAATGCCAGCTTTCATAAGTGACTGCCTGCAGTAATTCTAGTGTGGGACTCTCAGTGACTGACAAGTTTTTCTCTAGTTTTCAAAATGAACAGTGAAGGATAATTTGTGTGATTTCCACCGGCGCAAAATTGAGGCAGTTATGGGACAGCCAGTCTGTGGTGAAGTTAGGACCTAAACTAATGACTTTATACATTTTATGAAAAACGGCAGCTGTTAGATATGCCAACACTAACAGGCCCACGTATAAAAGTAGCTCACTGATGCTAAAAATAGTAAGTCATGAAAGCCGGCACTAGGCCTGCAAAAGTATGTGCAATTCTGAACACAATCAATCAACTACTATTTTAGTGCAGTCAACAACATGCCGCGGGCACAACATACAAACAAACAAAAAACATTCCACATGAAATCCACAGCTCACAGTGCCGCAGCAAGCACTCAGCTCAGCAGCTGAGTGACGGAACCTTTGGACTGCCTGACCAGAAAAGGGGAATCTGCACCAGCAAAATTTAACTGGGAATAAATAACTTTTCACAGCAACAGCACCAGTATAAACAGAACATCATCATCATCATGAAGCAGGTCCTTTGCAGAATGTCACTCTCATCATGGTCTGCTGAAAGAAACTCCGTCTCTTCCCAGCTATCCTGCCTCATGTGCTTTAATACTTAAGGAGTCAGTTATATCATGTGTCCATCTTCGTGATAGTCGGCCCCTGCCCCTCCTTCCTGGTACAATGCCTTCTGCTTTTATTTTTGTCCAATCTGCCGTGGCGCTTGATATGACCAAAATATTGCAGCTTTCAAGACAGGACGCTGTTTATTAGCCAATCTTTCCTGATGTTCAGATCTTTCAAGATGTCAATATTTCTCCTCTTCTTTGTTCAAGATATTCTGAGAATCTTTCTACAGCATCTCAGCTAAAAAGCCACAAACAGAACATGAACACAAAAATATGACCACACATGCATAAAATGACATCACAACGCCCAAGATGAGGATCACTAACCTCCTGACCATCGGCTTCTTCGTCACTGCTGCACCTGCCACCGTCACCCACATCTCCGCCACCATCCTTCTTGCAGCTGCATTGTTTTGTGCACGCGTCTTCACAGTTTTTCGCAGTCACCTGGCGACCTTTCAGGGCCCGAGTGAGGTTTTTTATTGACGATAGTAACCATGCATCAAAATCTTCACGTAATCCTGAAAAAAAAATACAATCTGTATTTAAAACTAACTCTTTAAATCAGCATTTCCCAAACTTTTCTTAGTCGCTGCGCCTTTTTTCAATTAAAATTTTTCCACGGCGCCCTAACCTGAGTAAAAGTATGACTATTCGTATGTAAGAGATTTAAAACAATAAAACTTGTGTATCTTCGAATATTTTGTTGCTCCCCTGTGAAGAGGTTGCGGCTCCCGGAGAACCGCTGCAGTTTGGGGATCACTGCTATAAATGATATCTCATGCACGTTTACTAAACTCAAAACATACAACCCTTTTGCAATTTTATAAATAAGAGAATCCTAATCTTACTAATAACAGAATGTCTCCATACCTTTGTTTTTACTGTTAATAACATTTTCATCTGCCAGACAAAGGGGTAGAACTCTGTTGGCAGACAGCGTATGCAGCCAGGAGTCGATGTTCTTGGCAACCTTTGACAAAATAACAGGTGCTTTAAAACCAAAAATACAATACAATACATAAGTGATGCACGAGAAAGATAGTGGTGCTGAATGATTTGCCAGTATGGCAAGTGGTCAGTTTACAAAGCCTGGGAAGGCTAAACGTGGGTGAACAAATACTTGATGAAACATGGTGTGTCTGTCTAAAGGCACAATGTCACAGCTATGCTGTAAGACAATGTGAATTTATTTTAACTCTACCCCTCCCCCTTTTTTTTTTAACCGGAGAGAGAGCACCCCTGAAATTGATGTCTTCCTCTTTTTCCTTGTGTTCACCGGAATGTACTAGCAGAAATCCTGGTTGTTCATCCACTCTTGGGCTTTGGTCTCTAGAATTTGAGTTTTTTTTTTTTTTCTTTTTACAGATCTGGCTTATTTGTATGCAGACTGTTGGTTTACTCAGATGCATTCCAACTTTGAAGGAAACTGTCCCCAATTAATCAGCTTATTACATGTTTATTTAGGGTCTAAAAACCATGACACATTTATCTGTCCAAAATGTAGGGTCTAAAAACTATGTGAGTCTTACACAATGGTAGTAGACCTTTATGTAATTATGTTATTTTCCCCAAATTTCTGGTCCAAAATCAAGGTATGTCTTAAAAATTGGAGCATTTCATAATTGGGGAATTCTGTATATAGAATCCAAGCAGACAGGCGATCAGCAAAATACTTCTCAGTAACGATACAGCGTGTAATAAAATAATAATAATCAGTAATAAAGAACATAAATTATACCTCGTTTTTCAGCAAACTTTGATCATGTGCTTATTTGGTCATCGTCACTGAATTGTCCGGATGTATCAATTTCTCCTCACACAACTACACACACACATGAAAGAATAACATGCTCCCTTTCTAGGAGGCTTTTATTTTCATTTTCATTTTTGGAGTTTGCTCTCCAGATGAAAACCTGTCCTGCCTCGGGGTGACACAACCAACTCAGCGTGAGCATCTTGTGGCAGTCGAGGTCATAATTTCTACTGGTCACCATCACAACAATACACGCACGTTACTTCCATAAAATCACAATGCACCTAATGCATTCATTTATAGGTTTGAAAAACTGATCAAGTAATCCATAAGTGCGCAGTTTTAGTTCAACTCAACTAGTCTGAAGAAAAAAAAAAAAAAAAAAAAAAAAAAAAAAAAAAAAAAAAAAAAAAAAATAAAAAGTTTGGTCATGCCAGGGCAACGCTGCTGAACTACTCTTCTTGTCTGAGCGATTTTTGTTACTCGGTCACCATGGGCGTCTGAACAAGTCCATGTTCAACAGGGGGCTGAACCCAGCACCTCCATCACTCGAGGCATTAAAATGAAGTAAAACAACACAATGCAGAACAATGCATTCACTTGCCATAGGTTTGAAACCGCTGATCAAGTAATCCATAAGTGCGCAGTTTTACTTTAACTCAAGCCTGAGTCTGAAGAATCTCAGCGCAGTGCATGAACTCTGTAACACCGGCGAAGACCCTGAAATACTTTGGATAGATTTTTAACTCTAAATTTTGCCAGGGCAACGCTGCTGAACTACTCTTTTTGTCTGAGCGATTTTTGTTACGTGCGCAACAATACACATGGGCGTCTGATCTTACTGCCCAAAGACCAGGGAAAACTGCCAAAGTCCATGTTCAACAGGGGGCTGAACCCAGGACCTCCATCACTCGAGGCATTGGAAACTGAAGTAAAACAACAGTCCCTGAAAATAGAACAGAACAGTCTGAAAGAAACATCAGTCGCCAAAAACCAAAACAGCCACTTGCCACACTCTTGACAACCGCAGAACTTCAGATAAGTGACTACAGTAACAACTATCTTTATCCTTATCTCTCCCTCTGTGGTTTCCAGGGCCCCATTTTGTGTGAAAACAAGAACAGACCTACCGCCCCCCCCCCTAAAAAGCATGTGGTAAAAGTAAACCAATTAGGGGTATTTCTCTCAAAGTCAGAGTGCATCTGCCTGAGAGCTGAGGAGTTAATAGTCTGCACATAAATAAGCTAAAAAAGAAAGAACATTTGTTATGAGTCAAAGGATTAAACAAAGAATCAAAACAAAGCAACAACAACAACAATAAAAACTCAAACATATTCAACTCACTGTGTTAAAATGCTCAGAATACAGTGAATTCCCCAGTCCCACCACTGCATAATTGAGTCCCGCAAGCGTTGCCTTGGTCACCCGAAAGTCCTCGGCAAGATCTTCCAGCCAAGTGTAGAACCACTGAGCCCCACCTGGTGGTTGACCATCTGTGTATGTTGAGACAATGAACACACAAATCTTCCCTTCCTCTGCCTGGTGGACAACAGACAAAAGAAATTCATCCTCTCGACCCAGAAATATTTATTAAGAAAAATAAGGTTCTTTATCAATACCCTACCCCAGATGACGTCACAGGACTGTCCAACATTTTAGAGGGTGGTAAGACTGGGTTTTGTGGTTTTCTGATGCTTTTAATGACCCCAGAACATCTAGAACTAGCCCTAACCCCAATCCACCTATGTCCCACGAGAGAGTGCAGCCTAGGTCCCATGACTATCTACCACCCCCTGAAATATTTGAATGCCCCGTGACCTGTGGATTTCCCGTTTGGGGTAGGATATCAATAAAGCACCAAAATTATGAGAGCATGAATCCTCCTTGTAGCAACAAATGGATGTGAGTCGTGGTCTATGACACAATCTTTGAGGAAGAAAACAGGGATACTGAGCTGAAATATTATAGAAAGATTTCAGAATACAATAAACAAAGAAGAGAAGAAATACTGACACCCTAAAAGATCTAAACATCAAGGAAGATTGGCTAGTAAACAGTATCTTGTTTTGGGAGCTGTGAACTATTTTGGCCACATCAAGCACCACAGCGAATTGGAAGAATAACAGAAGGCACGGTGGCATAAGACAGCAGCAGGGGCCTATCAGCATAAAGATGGATGCAGGATGTAAGTTAGGCCTTGGGTAGGAATGTGAATGAGGCAGGAGAGCTGGTGAGAGACTGAGTTTCTTTCAGGCAGACCGTGATAAGAGCGACGTTCTGCAAAGAACCTGTTGCATTATGATGATACCATTTCTCAACCAAAGCTGCTGCTCGTTTGGGCATTCACATACGTGCTCAACCCTCCGATGAAGCAGCCACCTCAAGGTAGCTCAACTCACTGCTCCCATAAGAAGCTGGTTTCAATGTCTTCTATCTTGACTTGAAGACAGCACTTACGTGCTTCACCAGTTTATCATGCAACTGCATTAACATAATAGATTTACCATGATCTGCCAGTCTAGTCCGTACAGTACTGATATCTGTTCTGTTTGTACATATTCCCGCATGCAGTGGTTCAATCTAGGTAGCTAGGTAAGGTATATCCAACCAGGACATCACACGATAAACACCCGGTGACACAAAGTGCCACTATGTGGATGAGGATAACCCATGGACAGATCACAGAAACCCTGTGCAGCCGTTAAGCCATATTCAAGACCCTGCTATATTTAGAGCCCCCCGGCAAAAGCCAGGGTAGGGCTTGAAAATAACTAAAGCTACATCCTACATGGGGATGAACTGAACAGTGGTGCAATATTTGCCAGCTAGTCTACTCATTCATCTATACTACCACCACAAACCCTTTCTGTATTTTGTGTGTTTATTACAAACGAAGTGTTAACTCCTCCCAAACCATCACTAGTACATTAGCTTCATTTGCAATTAAGACTACAATATTTTATTTAACAGTCACGCTGGCGGCCTAGGTTATTGTGCATTTCTTTATTTATTGCAACAATCAGTAAAAGTAAACCTTCACTAGAGTTTTATCCTTTATGTCTCTTGAAAAGGTAATTTTAACAAATTATATTTCGCTGTTATCTTCTTTGAAACCACATATCTATAGGTATCTGGGGAAAATACTTTTGTCTGTGTCTTAAACTGTTAACTACTAGTGTTAGTGTTACGGGGGATATCTCGGGTGCATGTGAAAATGGCTAAAGATATGGCAGCAGTGGAGACAGAGATGATGGAACATTGAATATTGTGTTTTAGTTACATCCCTATTTCAATTAGGCTTACATATAGGATAGCAATGGAGACCAAGATGAGGTACAGGGCGGGAGAATAAGACTTTTCTTTCACTATCCCAGGCGAAGCCAGGCAATTAAATCTAGCTGTATATACAACAAAAAGTTTCAATACATATGCAAGATTAGGAACATAAATGGTTCACCTCTGCCTGCAACAGTTTCTCATGGTCATAGCTGGCCACATCAGTGACGTCTGCTGTAAACCCAAGTTCCTCAACTCTGGTCTTCAGGATCTCTGCAAATAACTGATTCCAGAACGTTCCACACATGAATTAAAAACAACCTGCCAAGTTAACAATTTGTTGTGAAATTCAGTGAAAATGTTTACCTTAGTGTTACTTGGTCCAGAAAGGAAACAAAAAATATTAAATCACTGGTTTTTAACCTAGGCGACAAGCCTCCAACTGGGGTGGGCATTATGCAATTTTGAAACTGAGTGCACTTGTATTTTGTAAGTACTTTTATCAGTTTAATAATTATATTTAATATTCATATTTTTTTTTATCAGTTTAATCTACCTTCATTCCCCACGTGGGGGGGGGGGGGGGGGGGGGGATTACAGGCACTACTCAAGCATGTTCATAGAGACAACCACTGCTACTTTCAGCACTACTCAAGCATGTTCAATGGGCACCCACTGCTTTCAGCCTTGTTAATGCATGCCAAAAAAAAAAAAAAAAAAGCCATGCATGCAGTCATTGTATACGGCTCCATGAACATGCAGTTTACGCTCTGAATGGGTAGAAAGCATTTGAAAATCACACTTATCCTACTTCACCTGAATCATACCAGCACATAAGTTGATGAACGAGTGAATCACGCAGCATGCAATGAATCAATGCATGGGGGAAAAAGCATGGACATAGCAGATATCTTAACGCTGTGTGGACTAGACTAGTGAATAATGATGAATCTCGCTAACATGATTGCGTGACTTTGGAATATGGCATGGTAAAGCCCGTCTATGCCACCTTTGAGGCCGAGATAGCAGACATTATAACCAACTCCTTATAGAGCGGAGAGTAAAGTCACTGCTGCATCGGAGGACTGGGCAATGCATGGGAATGCCTAATGTGCAGTGACGTTGAATGTTATAACATCACATAACATTTCAGTACTTTCAGATGCTCAACTGCCGGTGAGATCAAATCTTTACAGACTTTGGCTCTCAGGTAGCCTTAAATGGGTACAAGGTAATGTCTTAGGGAAGTGTGTTAAGTACTGAGCTACAACATCTCAGCACTCGGGGCATATGAGCTAATAATTGACATCATAACATTTGGGACAACTGGTCTAAGAATTGACATCACAGCACTCAGGAAATTTGAGCTAAGAATTGACATCACAGCACTCAGGAAATCTGAGCTAAGAATTGACATCATAATACTCAGGAAATCTGAGCTAAGAATTGACATCACAGAACTCAGGACATCTGAGCTAAGAATTGACATCACAGCACTCAGGACATCCGAGCTAAGAATTGACATAACAGTCGGGGCATTCCCATAAGCACTCTGTCGTTATCTTCAGAGTCAAAGAAGAGTTCCTATTCCAATGATGCAAGAAGCAGTTTGGTTATACATCATTTTTACTTTCCCTCTTAATGCTGAGTGTTGACCAGATACCCTGGTCAGTCCTAGCTGTACCATTCTTTCCAGACCATAAGGACCAGTGTGATGCCTCCTCACTGTTCCCTTGCTCTCAAAGGGTCTTGATCACATCTTGTTTGTGATGCCTCCTCACTGTTCCCTTGCTCTCAAAGGGCCTTGATCACATCTTGTTTGTGATGCCACCTCACTGTTCCCTTGCTCTCAAAAGGCCTTGATCACATCTTGTTTGTGATGCCACCTCACTGTTCCCTTGCTCTCAAAGGGCCTTGATCACATCTTGTTTGTGATGCCACCTCACTGTTCCCTTGCTCTCAAAGGGCCTTGATCACATCTTGTTTGTGATGCCTCCTCACTGTTCCCTTGCTCTCAAAAGGCCTTGATCATATCTTGTTTGTGATGCCACCTCACTGTTCCCTTGCTCTCAAAAGGCCTTGATCACATCTTGTTTGTGATGCCACCTCACTGTTTCCCTTGCTCTCAAAGGGCCTTTGATCACATCTTGTTTGTGATGCCACCTCACTGTTCCCTTGCTCTCAAAAGGCTTGATCACATCTTGTTTGTGATGCCACCTCACTGTTCCCTTGCTCTCAAAGGGCCTTGATCACATCTTGTTTGTGATGCCACCTCACTGTTCCCTTGCTCTCAAAGGGCCTTGATCACATCTTGTTTGTGATGCCACCTCACTGTTCCCTTGCTCTCAAAGGGCCTTGATCACATCGATCACATCCTGTTTGTCATGCCACCTCACTGTTCCCTTGCTCTCAAAAGGCCTTGATCACATCTTGTTTGTGATGCCTCCTCACTGTTCCCTTGCTCTCAAAAGGCCTTGATCACATCCTGTTTGTGATGCCTCCTCACTGTTCCCTTGCTCTCAAAAGGCCTTGATCACATCTTGTTTGTGATGCCTCCTCACTGTTCCCTTGCTCTCAAAAGGCCTTGATCACATCGATCACATCTTGTTTGTGATGCCTCCTCACTGTTCCCTTGCTCTCAAAAGGCCTTGATCACATCTTGTTTGTGATGCCTCCTCACTGTTCCCTTGCTCTCAAAAGGCCTTGATCACATCGATCACATCTTGTTTGTGATGCCTCCTCACTGTTCCCTTGCTCTCAAAGGGCCTTGATCACATCTTGTTTGTGATGCCTCCTCACTGTTCCCTTGCTCTCAAAGGGCCTTGATCACATCGATCACATCTTGTTTGTGATGCCTCCTCACTGTTCCCTTGCTCTCAAAGGGCCTTGATCACATCGATCACATCTTGTTTGTGATGCCCTCTCATCCTCACTGTTCCCTTGCTCTCAAAGGGCCTTGATCACATCTTGTTTTGTGATGCCTCCTCACTGTTCCTTGCTCTCAAAGGGCCTTGATCACATCGATCACATCTTGTTTGTGATGCCTCCTCACTGTTCCCTTGCTCTCAAAGGGTCTTGATCACATCTTGTTTGTGATGCCTCCTCACTGTTCCCTTGCTCTCAAAGGGCCTTGATCACATCTTGTTTGTGATGCCACCTCACTGTTCCCTTGCTCTCAAAGGGCCTTGATCACATCTTGTTTGTGATGCCACCTCACTGTTCCCTTGCTCTCAAAGGGCCTTGATCACATCTTGTTTGTGATGCCTCCTCACTGTTCCCTTGCTCTCAAAGGGCCTTGATCACATCTTGTTTGTGATGCACAAATTCACCCCCCCCCCCCCCCCCCCACCCCTTCCCCACCCGTGCAGAACCAGCCAATCTGTCTGACTGTTCATTTCCTAACACTCCAGCATGCCATGGAGAAGATAACCAAATACTGTTAACTACCGGGACCTCTGAAGCGATGCATGCAGCGCACCCCCCCAGCCCCCCCATACATTCCGTAGAATGCCTGTGAGTTACTTACAATCACAATATGTGAGTGTAGCTGGTTGTCAAGCCAACAGAAAGCTGTGACTGAGGCTGTCTTGGGGAAGTAAAGGTGGTCAGCATTACGTTGACCAGATCACCCCACTGGTCTATATAAATATGAATCTAGCATCATATGTAACAAAAAATTTAACTTTTAAAATAATTTATTTTTCCTCTGATTTTATTCTCTTCCCGACATTCAGTGGCAGTCAATTATTACATACAATAATTCTGTAATCTTCTCAAGAGCGCAATCGTGGATTGAAAAAAAAAAGCACAAGGCATGGTGCCAGGAAGGAAGGGCCGAGGCTGATTACCACGAAGATGGGCTCAGGATGTAAGTCACGCACCATTTACTTTTTTTTTTTTATGGGGGGGGGGGGGGGGGGGGGGGTAAATTTGGCCGCAAAAAAAAGGTTTTTATTTTTATTTTAATGTTCTAAAATGACAAAGTACCTTTCCTTTCCCAGTCTGAGAACCATACAGGATGGTGAGAGCTCGTTTCTGCTTGCTTTTCCTCACCGATGTGGTTGCCACCGCCAGATTTTCTGAATCCTGTAAAGATTATCAACAGGCACTAAGTAAAATTTTCAACACGTCAGACTGAAACAACAGTAAATTCTGAATATATAATTCTAAATGCAACAAAGACAGACAAAATAAAAAGCAACACTATCGGGAAGATGATAATGCTTATGAATGTGATTTTTATATTAGTAACCTAGGGGGCTGTGTGGTTTTGAGGTGATAGAGGTGCCGGGTTCAATCCTCGGTAAGGGCTAGAATTATTTCACATGTATTTGGATTTCCAGTAATTCCACCTGGTCTCTGGATAGTGAGATCAGAGGCCTGTGTGCATTGTTGTGCGCATAAAAAATCCCTTGGCAGTTGGAAAACGAAAAGGATAGCCTAACGACGCTGCCCCAGGCAAAACTCGGAGTTAAAAATCTACCCAAAGTATTTCAGGATCCTTGCTGGTGCTACAGAGTTTGTGCACTGTGCTGAGCATCTAGGGACTCAGACTTGAGCTAGAAGAAGAACGGAGCACTAATGGGTTACAATCCGTGTGCCATAAAGTTAATCCCTTGTTTAAACCTCAAATCATATTAGTAACCTAAGTCAGTGGTTTGAATTTTATGTCACTGACAGGTACTTGTTTACTTCACGCAATTCCGTCCATACATAACCAGAATGTCCTTGCAATGGAAGCCACAGAGCTGAAGGAATAATGGCAGATCAAAAAGCACAGGGAGAACACCTCATAACTGCTCCGTTTCTGTGCCAGAGACAATCACCAAACAAGAAACATGCCGTTCACCGCCCCATGTGAACAAACAGACAGCTGTTCAGGCAAAATCCAACAACTCGGTCATACATCAAATGCATGAAACAGCCACCAGATGTTGAATGAATGAATTAATGAACAAACGAATGAAGGATTTACATCACTGCACTCCGGACATTCCCACATGGGTTTCGTTGCCTTCCTCAGTAGCCAACTCACACAGCCTGTTGAGAAAGGTGAAAACAGGCATGCTTCATGCAGAGTGGCAAGCATCACTTCAGAGATGCTGGGTAGTTAGCACCCTCTGGATATTTTCTCCAGGTCATGCCAGTGTGTTGGGAAATGAGCATACAGATAGACTGGATGGCTCTGCCCAACTTGGTGGTGAACTGAATGTATGACAAGTTAGATTTTGTGAGGGCCCTTTAGGAACGGGTGAACAATGCAGAGACGCAGATAGATCATTACGGTCTAAGGAGGATGGCACTGCGAGGAGTTACCAGGGGATCTGGCCGACGATCAAGACTCAGGGAAAGGATGAGACGATTATACAATGAGACGGTTACTGGTACCATCGGAATCAGAACTCTTCGCTTGCTGCTGAAGATGGGGACTGAGCATTTATGGGAGTGTCCTGGGTGCTGTGATGTCGATTCTTAATTCAACCTCAGTAGCTAATAAAGAGTCGACATGCTAACAGAACTAGTCGCAACCTAACTAAAAGTCCACCTATGTTTCCACATCTGTGCTGAACATCTTTCAGAACCTCTACTCATCCACTCACCTTCAGTTAGTCTTTCACTTTACCGAGGCTCTGTCTGTTCTAATGCACGGCCCATTTGATCCCACAGAGCCTTCCCAATATTTGCTGAACCATATTGTACCACCAGAGGTGCCAACACCAACAGTCACCAGAAATTTAATTCAAACTTTATGAAAGCAGCAGTCATGTCACACCAGCCGGTGCACCCACATTGCTGCATAAGGCATGTTACCAGTTCTGCGAAAGCTGCCCACTCACCTTTTTCATGATATGCAGTTTACAATAGACATTCTATGGGAGCACAGACAAAAAGCATTCCCCATGAAATTCACAGCTCACAGTGTCGCACTATGTATTCAACTCAGCAAGCTGGTTGATCAAACTTCATTTTGCCTTCACCTCGCTTGTTGTCCTCTGCAGTATAATCCGCAAGGGCTTGAGACCATCAACTCTCTACTGGACTGCTGGGGTAAACACAGTCCACCACAGGAAGTTGAGGTAGGCTTGAACAAGAGCGGGAGTCTGAGTGGTCTCAGGGCACGGTGTCCACCTCGAGTGCTGGTCCTGCATTCAAGCTTCGTTGAAGGCTGGGATTTTTGTTTCCACATGGACTTCTAGTAATTTCCCCCTGGTTTCTGGGTAGTGAGATCAGACACTTGTGTGTATTGCTGCGCACGTAAAATTCCAGTGGCAGTTGAAAATCAAATAAGAGCCTAATGGCGGCTGCAAGGACAAAATTTGGAGTTAAAAATCTACCCAAAGTATTTCAAGATTCTTGGCAAGGTACGGAGCACTTATGGGTTACTACCCTTGTGCCATGATATTGATACGTCATCTAAACCTAAGAGAGGCTGAGAGACATTGGAGTCACGTATTGCACATCACTGCTAAAACAGGACCCTCATTTCTTCAGGCTATGACACTAAACTGTAAATTTAGCAGTCACTGCTAAAAGACTTCTTCAGCAATCGCTGGTCATGTGCTTAATCCGTTATTGGCCATAAACTGGGACGTCATCTCCTGGTCTCTTAGGTTTTCCCCAAAGCTTAGCTTTCAAGTCTACTGGGTGTGGCCGTATATTGCTTCACAGCTCTGCCAGGAGAAAACAGTTTTGGAAGACATGTTTTGGAGCCTGTTCAGCTGATAGAGAGCTGTTTGGCTCCAACCTAATTTATATGAGTGTTTGTTGAGGCTGCAGTGGCCAGTGCATAAATAACAGACTGACGGTTTTTTCAGATGACTGAAGAAATCTTTTTCCAGGTGATAACCTGTGTTTACACCAAATAAGATGAACAAGTCAATCAATGAAAATAAATTAATAATATTAACCCAGATACTTACAATTCTAATACTGGCATTCTTTTTTCTGTTCACCAACCAGGCAACTCCAAATCCTGCAGCAAGAACAGCCCACAGTCGAATATTCCAAATTAACTTTTCTAACATCTTATCTGGCTGAAAATAAGGTTTCTATATCATTTGCTGCGTTATTTGCCTGGAAAATCAAAGTTACAAAAATGAGATTTTTTTTAGAATACAAGTAAAACATTTCTAACCAAAAACAGTCCAACTAACTGGCAGAAAGATTCACATGTCCGTTACCATTGGCAACACTCACCAGAGTGTGAGACCTAATGGGGAAGCCATGCTAGAAACACGCTTTGCCATAATGTCTTGCTAAGTTTCCGAAGCAACAAGGTTAAAGGTGTCTAACGTGCCAAAGAAAAATATGCCAGTGGGCTGTTCATTGCTGATCTATGTAGGCCGCATATGGAAAGCTCAACACATGGATGTGAGGTTAAGCAGAGCAGGATGTGACAATTCCTTGGGTCAGCCTAGGATCAGAGAGTCATGTGTCGGCTCTGTATTTATGGAAGCCTCCTTGCCCTAATTAGTGGACATTTACATTGTGCTTGTTGAGGTCTATTTTTTTTGCCCCACAATGGGGGCCCTAGAACTTTAAGTTAGTTGTGTATCCTTTACAGGACATGGCAGAACCAACCCCAGCATTTTTGGGCTGTTATGGTTTTTCTAGGCAAGTTTAAGTCCAGTAATTTGCCATTGCTTTCTGAACATCGGCTTCTCAATACCACTGTCGAAACCAATGCCAGGCGCAAGGCCCGCAGCTGGGTTTGAGCCCGGCACCCCGACATTACAAAGCGTGTTCACAACGCCTAAGCCACAGACGCCGACTAGAACTTATAAATCAAGCTTGATGCTGAGAGGTTCAATAACACATCAGAATTTGTGATGAATGGCTGAATCTTTGCCTCGCAACAACCTAACAATACTGGCAGCAAAAGCCTACAACACAAAAATGGAAACATCAAAGAGGCACAGGAAGGTCAAGAAGATGGACTGAAAGAATCACTGAAAGCATATCACCTCACAATAGACATTATGAGAAAATTTTAAACCAAATGAAAAGCAGAGACATCCACTATCAAGAAAAGAGAGAGCCACCAATGAGGAACTTAAGAACAAAAGTAGACACAGTACTAACAAATGACTGATTTCATAGAACATCAAAGAATCAGGCTCTTCTCTGAACTTCTACCCCCTATTATGGCGGCCAAAAATACCTTAACAGGGCCTCAGTCATGTGTAAAATGCAAACTTCCTGCGACGAACACATCGCAGCAAAACTAGGATTACTTGACAATTTCAAGAGATGCAACACTGCAGATGATACTAGCAGACCATACTAACGACCATTGACAATTTCGAGACACGCAACATTACAGACGATAATATGGAGATGGCGGGGAGACCACGCACTCCGGCACAGATTAGTGATAGTGTTCTTCCAATTAAGCTTACTGCCGAGTGTATCCCAAGCGCCGCTACATGCAGCTCAGATGGGGATCTAAACTAGATGCCTGGGACTCACAAGCAAATAAATTGGAGGAAGGTGCAGGAGAAGTGGTAGCTGCTGCTTGTGAGTCCCCGCCATTTAGTTTAGCCCCCATCTGCGCCGCATGGTGCGGCACAGTCGCAGAAACAGGTGCACAATTAACATATCGTTGAGACCCTGTTAAAGCATTTGTTTCGTTATTCAGAGCCGATCCTAGTCTTGCCGCGATTTGTTCCTTGGCAGGAAGTCCGCATTTTGCATAGGACTGAGTCCCTGTTAGGGCATTTGTTTAGCTGCCATAATATGGGGTAGAGGTTCGGAGGAAAGCCAAGAATCAAATGGTTTGGTCACGACCGGCTCCAGCTGACGGGCCGTGCTGCTGACATCATCAGGTCGGGCTAACAATGCGTTAACGCATCGGTTCTCAAACAAGAAATAAACTATTTTCGACAGTGGCGAGGGACGACAACTTAAATTTTAACTTGTATGTATGTACGTCCCTTCTCTAATAATTTCACAATTTGTAAACGACCTTTTCTTGATTACTGCGGGCGGCACCCCTGGCATACGCTCACTGCACCCCGGGGTGCCTCGGTACCAGCTTTGAGAACCGCTGCGTTAACTCATCGTTAGCCCGACCCGTTGACGTCAGCAGCACGGCCCGTCAGCTGGAGCCGGTCGTGGTTTGGTCAACTGGTCAGAGAAGAATAAAATCAGTCAGCAGTAGAGCGTACGACATAAAATATAAAACAGCAGGTTAAAAGGAAAAGGGCTGACCAAAGAAGAGATTGATGCATATTTGCTGCTCTTTGTCACACTTGTGACTTTGTGGGTGAGTATACAGCTTTGCGTGGTTCATTTGTTACACTTACAGTACGTATACAATACTATTAATACTAAATGATTGGTTAGTTAGTAGCTTATTAACCCTCTTAGCACGGACGGGCCGATTATTGGCCAGCGGATGTCTGGCCAAAAACACGGAACGGCCGATCATCGGCCCGATCGTGTTTCGCCACGAACCGCTAAGAAATCTCCTACTTTGAAACACTAAAAGTGATTCATTCATATTCACTGCTGTATTAGCTTTACACATGGCGACTTTCGAGTGTTTGGTATCGAAGTGAAAATTGTTGTTGAATTTTTTAGATAGTGACCTGAACCGCTAAAAGTATGTCTGACTCGTATGTTTCTGCCCCTAAACTTGATGTTGATAAAACATTTGAATCAAGTGATGACACTAATTCTGTTGATACTGATGCAGGATCTAGTGTTAGTAGTAACAGTGGGGAATCAGATGGGGACGCTGTTGTGTTCAGACCACAGCCCAACCAATTCTCTGGGTACATCTACCCAAAGATGTTGGCACTCCGGCACATCCATTTCTTGTGCTGACTGATGGTCAAAAACACATGTCACCTAAAGATATTATTGCTGTTTCATATATATATACCTGTTTTTGACTATTGAATTGCTTTACAACATTTGTAAAAAGGCCAAGGATCAATAAAAAGATTTCAAATAAAATATATTTTTGTTTTTAGTTTCATGCATTGAAGTTGAAAATTCAAATTCTAATTTTCTATTTTTAGATATGCAAATGAAATAATTAGCATATACACCAATTAATTTTAACGATATTGTGAAAATCATGAACTTTAATCTTTATCCTTCAAATAGATATGTTATTCATGGGTGTCAGTATAACAGAAATGTGTCCAAAAAAATTAAATAAAGTAATAACCAAATTTACTGAAAAAATGCTCCGTGTTTTTGGCTAGACATCTGAAAAACTTCCCGTGCTAAAACTAAAACTAAAAGGGTAAAATATTAGTTTGCACTGAAACTTAATTACCAAATATTAGTATTATTACTAATCAATGTGGCCACATTTTGTGTAATTCAAGATCTGAACTTGGCAGTGACAAGATACAAATTGCTGGAAAGGGGGGAGGGGGGGGGGGGGGGACTACTTCCCACGCCCATTAAAAAAAATGGAGAAAAAAATGGTCAATATGAGTTATGACCATTGGCCCATGGGGCAGACGACTTTCAGACTGCACAGAGTCAGCATGCCTTAGATGAAGACCTCTGGTCCATTGGTGGCATCAGGAGTAGAATAATAAGGTGGCGGGGAGACCCGTTATTAAAGAAAATCTAATTTTGGAGAACTCAACTAAATAGCAACCTTTACCCAGCACACTTGTCTCCTACTACCTTTCTCCAGAACTGGCCATGTTGTGGAACTCTCCTCAAATGGGAAGCAGTAACAGTATGGTTCTATTTGCACGGGAACGTATTTTTCTTTCACTTTTCTCCTTATGTCGGTACTTTATTTTAAATTCCCCTGAAACAAAGAAAATCCTGGAGTTTCTCGGAAAGAACAATATTCTAGGAGTGTTATGGGTTATCGTTAGAGTTCGTGGTAGTGATAGTGGTTCTTTACTTTTTATTCACCCCACACACGGGATATCCCATCATCATCATCAGGTGCCTTGCCGACTGGCGTGGGCGATCATGCCTCTCCATAATCCGCGATCTCCTGCAGCATGTATCAGTTCGTGTGCCGACACACCTTCATGCCATGCAACAAGATTGTCAAGCATCTTCTCTCGTTGTCTTCCTCTATCGCTCCTTCCACAGATCTTTCCAGTGGTCACAACATGTTCTATTTTCCCTATTCTCATAACATGGCCGAAAAATGATGACTGTCTCCTTCTGATGTCAGTGATAAGTTGTATTCTGGCTCCAGCCTCTTTTAAAACCTCTTGGTTGCTCTTTTTGGCTGTCCAAGGTATTCTAAGCATTCTTCTGTAAAACCCCATCTCTGAGGCCTCTAAAAATTGTTTGGCCTGCCTACCGATTGTCCAGGATTCACATCCATATATTAAAACTGGATGTATGTAGCAAGCAAGAATTCTTTTTCTAACTCTCAATGACAAGGATATATTGCACAAGATGTTTTTCATTTTATAAAATGCAGTTTTTGCCCGTCCAATTCTGTTTCTTATTTCAGTTATGCATCTTCCATCTGATGTTAACGGGATATCCAAAGTTCCCAAAAAGTCCAATATTATAGCGGTGTTATGGTTTGAAATGAACATCGACTAACTTTGTGAGGCGGTCGGGGTTGACGAAGATCCTAACCCCAACATCACGCTATAACACGACTAGAATGTTGGCCTTTCCCGAGAACTTTAAACTACCTTTGTTTGGATTAAATTAAAAATAAAGTACCCATTTTCCACGCCTTCATTTGTACTGGGCATATAGGGTTAGACCTATATTTTATAGAGCAATCAGCAGGCAGTCAGTGGATGCTGTGGTCAACACCACGCCGACCGCCTTTACTTCCGAGGACTTTACCTGGTATCCATTTAGGCTGGCTTGACTTTGAACATCTAAAGATCAAAATCAGACGGTACAAAAAAGTGAAAACCCATTAAACCGTATAGCTATATAGCACGGTAATACTGAGCCACCACAAAACGGATAAATGAAACCTGTACTCCAGTGTCGGTAGGGTCTTACATTGTATATTCATCACCATCAAGTACCTGGCCAGCTGGCGTAGGCGTCCATGCGTCTCTAA